CCTCCTTTCCTGTGGGGCTAGTTGCACAGGGGAATGAGCGCATACAGTCAAACTTCATATGAAACTTTTTTGAGGCCTGGCAATGTAGCCACTGTTGTGAAGGCCCAGATGCCTTCTCTTTCTCCCCAGGGTTTCTCTGCTATGAGATACAGGCTGATGTGCACCTCTCAGAGAGCTTGACAAGTGTCTCACTGCTGGATCAGCTACTGTGCTGTATGCTGCTGGGGATGATGCAGCCCCTCCTGATTGCAGGTAATCAACACAACCTGCATCGCCATCCCATCTCTCCCCTCACACAATTTTACCACATCACCAGCAAAGCCCCTCGGTCTACAGAGCCTGTCCTAATCGATGCTGTGAAGTCAACAGCAACACAAATCCTGAGCTGCTCATTACTGGCAGATTTGACCCCACCCAAGCCAGAGGGTAGGGGCGGAGAGAACAACCCTAACCAATGCTCAGGAGGTTACAGGCAAGAGCTGTAGAGGAAAGGGCCGGATGAAACAGAGAAGCACTCAGAAGTCCCAGTGCTCACCACCTCCAGCACTAGAGGACTCAAAGTGTAGTCAGAGGGAAGGAACCCACAGCGGAGAGCTGTGGGGTGATCTGGACGCAGCCAAGGTCAATGTCAATACAAACTCTCACATGAGGAAGAGTATTAGGTTTAAAGCCTCATCGGGTATCATAAAAAGAGTTATAAATAACCACCCAGGCTTTTCTAGGCAAATAACTCAGCAGGGCAACCACATCCTGTAACTAGACGGTGGAATGCCCATTATGTGTTTTGGCAGGATTATTTTCTTATCTGTTTGAGTGTGTACCTTCGTTTTTGTTTTTTTAGCATCTTTATTTTGATGACAAGGAAAATGCTTATATGCTACTACCTCCTTCTTTGTCTTTTTTCTAGTTGAAACAATTGTTTGAATCCCACATACAGATTTTTCCAGTTCCTAAATCTATCACTCACAACCACAACATTCTCTGAGGAGGGCCCAGTGTAAACAGAGCTCCAGATGAGGCCACAAAGATTTATGCACAGATATTTTCTTTGTCCCCTTCATCCAAACACTGAAGATGAAGCTGTGCTGGTGTCCTCTGGTATTCCTGTAACTGCTAACATAACATCCCACTTTTCATCTGTATTTCCACTGTCTTACACACCCCTTAAACAGAAAATACCTTGCAGGTTTTGAGCGCTGTTCTTTGCAGACAGAAAAGCCTGACATAACAGTAAGACTGTGCATTGTCTCAGACGTAAACTAAGCGAACAGAATTCAGGGTGCAAGCTTCATTAATCAACCAGCAAAGAGGTTTCAGTTTCTCCTTCTTTCAAGTGCCACCCTCAGTGAAGGCCCTGAATTTGCTGAGGTTATACAGCTGATTGTTCTTTTAATGAGGCAGTAGAAAAAGAAAAAAAGTATCACAGTTTTAAGTAATAAGTCTACTTTCAAATGGAAACGAGGGCTCAGTCAGAACTGGATAGGCATTTTTACAGCTTCTCTCAGTTCAGGAGGAACCTCTGCATTTCTTTCAGTCCAGGAAGAAACTCCCCCTGGGACCAAAAAGTTACAAGACAGTTATCTTCCTCAAGGGAACAGGGGCAGGGTAAGCTTGTACTCCCAGCCTAATTCACTGTGCTGTTAGGTCACAGACCGCACGCTCAGACACAGAGAAGTGGGTGGCAGAATGTGTGCAAGGAGATGGCAATGGGGAAGGTAAGGTCCATTAAAGATGCCATGTAATGTCCTGGTCTTACCTCACAGAGAACAATCCCAAATGAAAAGATGTCCACTGTCTCATCGTAGCTCTGTCCTGGAGGAAACACAAGACATTCAGCTCTGTGAGAGCCAGTTTGGGGAATAGCTGTTCTAGGAGCTGCCAGTCCAAAGCTTAACTAAGCCTGTTGCCTGGAGGGCCCTAAAGCAGGAGACAAAGCAAGGCTTAAATCCCCAAGATACGTATACCAACTGCATCTTCCTATACACTGCCATCAAATATTTTAACCCCGCTTTTTTCTTCTACTGGGGAATTACAGGACAACACAGGGATGCCTTGTGTATCAGAGGTCTGAGAAAATGCTTAGGATAACCATGGAAGGCTTCTGCCCATTTCCACTGATTGCTGTTCTAGTGCATCTCTACAGTGCACTGAGTCAGTGTTCAGCTTCCCCAGCAGCCAGCGAGTGCCCAGTCCCCGCTGCAGTGACTGCAGAGATAATAAATTACACGCTAGCAGCACTTTGAATTTGGGAAAGCAGTCTGGCTCCAGCATGCCATTCTCTGCTTACAGACACTCCTCTCCCAAGCCAATATCTGGTAAAAACAGCCTTGCTTTGAGAGGTGATGTCAGACTATGCTCTTGCTGTTCTCTTGACAAATGCCAGGTCTGAGAGAGGCTCTGAGAAGCAGCCTCAAGACTCCAGTAGGGCCTGTAGGTCTTGAGAGAAGGAAAACAGAAGAACAACACACAAGAAAGCAATATGGAAAAGAGTTGAGTTTGGGGAGAGGAGCCCACTACTCCATTCCCTGGTAGACTATGTGGGACAACATTGATACCATAGTGAGCCAAACTGCCCAGCCTGGTCAGACTGACTTGCTCATTAGGAGGAAAATGTATCCATTGTATTTCACCCTTACCTCAACTTCTGCAAGGGCAGTTTTTCCCCTAGGGGATATAGTTCATCTTTAATGCAATTGAGGGCTGCATGCCGAAAACTAGATTTCCCTGCACTTGGACAACTCCCACCCCAATCCTGAGACTTCAGCAAACCTGGCAGCAGATGACTTCTCGCTGAATCTACACAACAGCATACGTAAGCCTCGTCCTAGAGTTTAATGATCCCCTGTCTCAAGGGGCAGTTCCAAATCATGAGGCTGTAACAGAAATTGATCTCCGGTTCGGTCTTATTTCGGGCCTCTTTTTGTCTTCCCTGTTATCTGGACCATAGCAAGTTTAGGTCTGTTGCCCTCCTGAAAAATCCTGCTGTCAGGCCAGAAACATTACCACGGCTGGTACAAAGGCTTATCAGGTCAGGCACTGCAAGAGAAGTGCAGCCAGGGTACCTGTGTGTATAAATAAGCTTGTGTATTAGCAGGTCTAAAACCATAGGCTCTAATAGGTTTGATTGTTACTAGGGGCCAGAAGCTTTTGGTAATCCTATCATCCCTATACCTCGTCACAGGCTGTCTCCTCACCTGCACCCTGGTATCGGTATCTTACCATTTAGCATCTCTGGGGCCATCCAGTATGGGTTGCCAACCACTGTGTAGCGCTTCTTCCTGTCACTCTTGCGTAGGGTTCGTTTCTTGGCAGATGGCTTCTCCAAAGTGGGCTTTTTTCTTTCCTCCACAATCAGCCGAGACAAACCGAAGTCAGCCACCACCACCGTCTTATCCTACACAAGAGATTTAGTACAAGCCACTGATTCCTCTCAGCTCCTCTCAGGAGCAAGGAGGCTGCAATTCCTGTTCACTATCGACTACACTGTAAGGGCAACTTGCAAGGTTTCCTGCAGCCAGATGAGTGCAGCAAGCTGTCCAGACAGGTGTAAGACACCCAGTTCATGATCCAAACTCATAATTTCCTCTCTTTATTGTCTTATTTCCTGTGTGGTCACTAAAACTAATCCCATCAATTTGGCTACACTTACCAAGGCAAACCTGGACCCTTCCTTTTAGACCTTCCTATTCTACCTGGCTGGGAATTAACTTAGACTCTCATCCTGGGTTGCTGAAGCCTACATGCTAATCTCATATTCCAGCCAAGTGAACAAGGGCAAGGCTTGAGGGAATGAAGCCACACAAACATCTTGTGTACTAGCATTTAAAAAAGAGAGTGCACACACCTGTGTGCTTATCTGAATCCCAAGTGCCAATATAAAGGTCATCAAGTGGTTAAAAAAACAGAAGCAGGTGTAGAGAACATTTCATAGGTGAGATAAGGAAGAGAGCTGTACTAACTCTTGTAACGTGACTGTTAATAGGAGATGCTAACAGAGGAAAGGGGGTAAGAGAACAGAATGAAGAAATGGTGAAAGCTACATCAGTCTGGAAAATCCTACATGAAGATGAAGCTCCCTTGTTCAGGGCACTAAAAGCCTCTCTGAAACCAGTTCCACGCTAACAAAAGAGGGAACATGATGTGGAGAAAACCAAGGGAGGAAGATGACAAAGAGGGGAGCAGTATGCTGTGGGGAACAGAGGTGTAGCTCACCAACTTGATTAGGCAATTGTGTGAATTCAGGTCTCTGTGAATGATGCACATGGAGTGCAAGTAAGCCTGGAAAAGACAGAGAAAACTTGGTGTTAAGGGTTCCCTTCACACTTACAGACCTCAACAACCAGTTGCTAGTAGTCAGGCAGCATCCACAACCCCTCATACACCACCCTGCTGAAGCAGCTAACCCTGACGCTGGAGGTTTGCTTTCTGATGAAGGGACAGTCCGACTCACCATTCCAGAGGCAATTCCTTTGGCAAAGCTGACCTTCTGCTGCCAGGGAAACGGGTCCTGAAAGACAAGTCCTCAATGGTCAGGGACTATTCTACCAGCCAGCTGGTGACAGCAGTTCCTCCACAACAGGGACTCGTGCAGCAGTCAGAGAGAGATTATACAGCCCCAGGAAGAAGGTGCTTCCTGCCTCAGGCCACCCACAGCCAAGAAGCTTTTCCACGCAGATCCAAAGGAGAAGACTAACAACAAGCACCAAAAGGCTGGGACAACCAACACCACACTGTCAACCTCATTGAGCAGAGGTCTACCAGGCTTCCACACTCACCGCATTGCGGAGGAAGTCCTTCAGGGTGCCCCCCTCAATGTACTCAGTGAGGAGGTTCAGCTTCTTGTCCTTGTACAGTACACCGATGAACTTCAGCACATTGGGGTGATCCAGGCTGCGCATCACTTTCACCTGGGAAGCAGAGACATCCCACGCCAAAGAAAAGAATGGAACAAGAAAATTGTTTAGCTTAAATACAGCAGGAGTCTTTAATATCTTACAGATATTGGCCCTCACCATTTGAATTTATGCACAAGGCTCAAGGGATAAATCCTTTATGTGTTGCACAGCTCAATTTGCCTCAGACTCAGGCTGCTTTTTATCATTGAAAAATTAATGAACTGGGAGCTGAAGCCATGTCTATTGCTCAGCATGAGTCAGTCACCCTTCTCTGAAGCAAACATTCGGCTCATGTCAGCTTTTCCCCGTGTGATGCCTCCCTCTCCAGCACCTTGATTCCTGCCAGGTTGCTGGCATGATCACTCTCTCTCTGAAGAAGATGGAAGAGAGTTCCACCACACTACTGGCTCAGAAGCTTTTTGAAATCTTGCTCCTACCTCTGTCAAGAAAGTCTTCTGTGTTTCCTCATCACAGCGAATCAGCTCCTTCATCACCATCACCTTTCCTGTGGCTTTGTGAGTCACCTGGTGGAAACAGAAACCACATCTACAGGGAAGGTTCAAGAATACATAGCTCAAATGCTCTTGCAACTCTTCTGAAAGAGAGGGTAAAATTCTCCTCCATCCAGAGAGGAATATAAATGGGAAAAAAATTCAGAGCCCAGGGATCTGCAGAAAACTGCGTAAAATTTCTTCTTTCAGAATTCAGCTAAGATTCTGTATGTGAAACAGGAACTACCTAAAGCTGGCAGATGATCATACCAACAGATCAATAGCATCCCAAGAACCAGAGCTGAAGTCTCCATTTTAGGTAGCATACGGCTGAGCATGCATACAGGCTGTCAAAGCCTCTGCGGGCATCAGTTCCATACTTGTGCGTGCTCAGGTTCCCTTACAGAAAGTACTTGCCCAGAATGATGGGGATTTTGTACATAGACCCTAACAGCTACAGCCTGTAGCCAAGGAATCAACGTTCACTTGCAGCAGAAACCAAACTAAACAACCCAAAACTACATTACTACATGCTTTAGTTTTATGGGGACTCTGAAGCCCGTTGGTTTCCGATGAGCTTATCAGACTTACTCATGTGCAAGCCAAGCTGGGATGTGCAGGCTGTTCAGTTAAGGCAGGAAGCAGTTGTTTTACCATACTCCTTGGGAGCAGTGAATTGCTACCTGCAAGGAATGTACCAGAATGGTGGCAAACACACAGAAATCCACCATAATCATCAATAATAAATTTCCTGGCTCTCAACATGGAAAGCACTTCCAGTTCCTCAAGAGCTGTTTGCCTGTATCCAACTAGTTCTTGGCATTTTGCTATGTTCTAGAGGTTTCTTTTAGCCAGCTCTGCTGTGCTTGCATGGGGTGCATGAGTGAGTAGAAAGGGTCCAAATTCTGACAAACAGGTTTTCCTGGAAATCCTCTCCCCTTCAGCTGCTGAACTTGGAGACGTCAGTCTCCCTAAGATCTCCAGATAACTAAACAACCACCTTCTCTCTAGGAACAGAAAGGAACTATTCCGACCAGATACAGTACTTGTTGTATCAAAAACAGTCAATCTGAAGCTCAAGAGAAGTGTCACTTTTTGCCTCATACCCTTAAAAATAAAAAGCCTTTCAGAAACCCTCCAGACCTACAATCCAGAACACAAGACCCCTTTATAGTACACTAAGGAAGTTTATGAGCTCTTGCCAACACTGTGGCACACCAGTTCTATTTGGAACCATGGGACGTAGCAAGGCTGATATAGGTGGAATATGAATGCATGGAATAACACAACAGAAGCAAGGGTACAATATTCTTCTGCTCCCGTCTGAAATCAAGCATCCATATACAAGTAGCGAGGCAGGGAGCACTACACATTTCAGCCAGGGACATGAAAGCCAGGGACATCTAATACCCAAAGATAAAGGGAAGTGAAGAGACAAAGACAAGACAAGGCTAAGTGGAATTCTTAAGCTGACATACCAGCAAAACTGAAACAAGTGTCATCATGAAACTCCAAGAGGGCAATTTTAACTCCCAGAGCATGCACCAGAACAGGATGGCTATTGGGTAATTTGAGCAGAAAAAAAAATGCCTTTGTGCCATTAACTGTGGGGACGCAGATGACAAAAGCATGCGACAGAGGAAAGGTTCTGCTTACCTGGACCTGTTATTTCTCTATGAGCAGAGGAGAAGAGAAATATGCTCATTAGTATGGACCAAAAGTATTAGGTTTGTAGTAGTGGCTCACCACCTCCCATGGAAGCATGAGATGAATATGGTGGCTGGACAATGTAAGTTTATACAGGTGTAAGGAAAGAATTCCCATAACATGGTGAATGGCAACCCGAGTACCGAGGAACTCAAAGCACCTTGATAAGGCAGAGGAAGCTGCACCCTGATGCTTCCAGGGATGTCAGGATAAGAGCTGCTGAAGCACCCCCAGTCAAGACCAGAGAGCTTAAATACAAGAGAACTGCTACTAATAGAGATTTTAACTGTGAGAGTCATGCAAAACCTGACCACTACCACCACACTGAGAAGCCATCTAGGCTCTACTGGGGGTTCAAAGATGGTCACTACATCAGCCTAGCAAACCCCCAAGCATGCCACACTAAGGGTAGGTGAGAAATGCTGTACTGGGGAGTTGAATGCACCTCTGCATAAGAAAGAGAAAGTGTAGTTTGTTCCCCACTCACGCAGGTGGTTGCTGTAACACAGGAACTCTGGAGTTCTAAATATAACTCAGGAGGTATGTATCACCAAGGTTGACATTCAAAGGGGACAAAGTCAAAACCGCCTGCAGCCAGAGGCACTCAGAGAAATGGATCTCACTGAGCAAACCAGGCGAGTTCCAAGACTGATCACTATCAGCAAGGCAAAGGCCACTGAGACAGTGGCGAAGGATCCTGAGATAGGCAGACATTGCTGTAATCAAAAGAAATGATAAATGTTTGGGGACCTCCCTCACCTTGATTGCTTGTCCAAAAAATCCTTTTCCTAGTACTTCACCATGAATTAGGTCACAGGGCCTGAAGATTTGCTGGGAGCAGCTAGAAGAGGATCGTAGGGATTCAGAACGACTGATGTCACGGCTCAGAAGGAGAGGTTCCTTTGGAGAACTGGGGCCAGGAGACTTAGAAATGCTGTTACTTCGCCTAGAAAACAAAGGAGACAGGAAGATCATGGAAACTGCTAGGAAACTTTTGGTCCAACATATCCCATCATTAGCTCCTAAGGGACCAGTTTCTAAATGTGCTTCAGTGCTCTTCATATCTCAAAAGCCAGATGCTCTCCCAGCACCGTGGAAGCTCTTTACAAACCTAGAGCAGCTTCCAAGTCAGAGCTGCCTAACCACCGCATCTCCTGCACTGTCAGTCAGAGGTGGAGCTTTATGAACAGGAAGAGGAAGCTGTGAAGACACAGCACTCACTACCTCTAAACAAAGATTAAAATATTGGTAAATGACTAAACGAGCAACTGAGTGGCCCATCTAGGAAGACAAGATTTCTCTCAAATCCCAGGTCTCAGCCATATTCCCTTTAAAGACACATTCTTCCCCAGCCATTAAAGGCTGGTAAAAATCTGACCTTTACATTTTCTAACTGTAAAACTTAGTAGCTTTTCTATATTAAAAGCAGAGCTCCTTATTTTTATTAAGAAAAGTTTGCCATCCTGAAAGGGAATGGAGAGAGTAAATATCAACAGCAGAATCTAAAGCTCTCCACTGCTTCACTAGTGGTTTTATACCAAGGCTCATATCAGAGATGAGTCAGGTCCCTGCAGTCATTTGCAATTGCAGGCCCTAGGCATGGAGCAGCCCAGCCAGGTAGCACAGGGCAAAGGCAAGCTAGGTCAGAGGCATCGCTTCCAAGTCTTTACCTGAGGGAGCGCCGTCGGAGCGTTCCTTCCAAATTCTCCTTGATGTCCAGTGGAGAGAGGGAACGTGGGGAAATGGGCGGCTTTATGTGGGTGGGAAAATGGGAGTCCAAGCGAAGCCTGTCTAAGCGCTGCGAGACAGGGTCGTGCTCTATCAGCAGCTGAAGCGTCTGGCTTGTCTTGCGAATCAAGTCCTCCACCTGCAGCCAAACCAAAGGGCAGGACAATAGCAGACAGGGGGAGCGCAAGTGACAGGAGATAGAGGAGACACAGCAGAATGCCCCTCAGGGGCACAGAGTAGAGAGTTCAGTGAGATCACTCCATAGCTGTGGTTTAGTTGTGCGCACCACAGCTGCCTAGCAGACAAATCAAGCTAGCAACACAGAAGTTCCTTACACTATACAAATCCTCTTCTTTCTGCTCAGCTACAAGTGACCAAACACTTTTTTCTCCCCCTTTTTCTGAGAAGTGTTCAAAAACTACACAAACTTCCATCCTAAACAGTGCTGCAAAAAACAGCCTTGCAAAAGCTACATGGAGATTTATCTGAGAGATGTCTGTTGTGCTCCTAATGCTCTCTTCAGCACCAACAGTAAATAAAACCCTTGCACAGTGAAGGCAATGATGGTCTCGTTACACTCCTGCAGCATCAGCTGACATCTGTATACAGCATTTACTTGTAAATACAGACAGCAAATACTTTTTTTTTTTTTTGCAATGGGAAACTTATCCCTAGGATCAGCTGAGCCTTTCTCTCCTAGCAATTGCCTCTAAAAGGATCGGAATAGCGGACTTCACCAGCAATACACAGAAGAGTCTTCACAGCCTCTCTGTCCTCTGACATGTCACAGCCCTACACTTTTCTTATTACCTCCCTTCATATTTGAATGCCACAAAATCAGAACTGCATCCTAATTGTATTTCCACCTGTTACATTTTCCTCTTCAGCTGGAAGACGTAGCAAAGCTTGTCTTCATGTTTATTCCTACTGTCAGCATGAGTACTACGGGTGTACGCACACTGTGTGTAGGGTGGGAGAACAGTGCTGAGAAACAGAAAAGCTGTAGGAATGCAGATGAGAAGGAGGCTTCAGAACAGAACTCTACCCACCTCCTCCACCTGTAATGTACGAATAGGAGCTCCATTAATCTCCAGGATACGATCTGCAGGGTGGATGGCGTTTCGGACATCTGGGCTGATGTGCATCCTGTTAACTCTAAACATGGAATTATAGTATGCGTGGGAAGTCAGCTTAGCCAAAATCATAAAAAATATTTGATCTCTGATGCTTCCCTTCATATTGGTATTCTGAAATAAAACAATGCTAATCTACCAACACAGAGAGCTGCCATTAGACCAAGTGCTTAGGTCTGAGCTGATTTGGGGAGAGCTCTTCATTTGCCCTATTGCAAAAATTGTTAGTCCATTATAATTCACCAAATGTTTTGTGTTCATTGAAGGAGACAGCATCGAGAAATAAAGTTATCAATTCAGGTCCTCACAGGAGCGAAATGGAGACCAAACACAAATGGCTATTAGCCAAGACATGTCCCTATTGTGCTGAGACAGATCCCCTCAGCAGTTAAAGCAGCTGGCAGGATGGCAGCACTGCAGAATTTTTACCAGTTCCCTCTGGACAGACATGTACCTTGCACACAACCTTGTCATACTCACTCTTTCACCTGGACACCAGTGGCATAGCTGGAGCAGCCACCTTCAACGGACACTGAGAACCCCCTCTTGCCATCAGTAGCTGCCGGCATGGAGATGAGGGTCAGCGTATAAGGCAGCTGCTCCCGCAGAGACTCAGTGGAGTGTTTTTCTATCATTGGTGTCAGCACAATCTGGTTATGGCATTTTCCACTAAAAAAAGTGAAGAAAGTCATTAGGGCAGTGTCCTACCCCTCCCTGCCAAACTCACAGTTCTGTGCTATTTGGCTGAACCAGCTAAATATGGCTTACACATAGAGCAACTGTGTGGCAAAGCACGCAGCGCCATCTTACCAATAGAGAGTGGAATGTTGCACGAGCGCGTAAGTGTCCCCATCTTCAATGATCACTTTGCAGCTCATACAAGCAAAGCACTCGGGGTGATACTTGTATTCGCCAGCCACCTACAGACAGAAAAGGGAGTAGCTTACTAGGGCCAAAATCCATCAGCAGATGCAGCTACTGCTTTCCTCTCTAATTAACATGTTCATCCAGATCTCAAAGTCAAGTGGCAGTTTTTTACTGGAAAGTTTTATTAGCCCATTCTGCCCTTCCTGAACCCCATCCTTGGCACTTTGTTTGCAAAACTTCTCCGAAACAAACACGTCAACATGCTAAGCAAAGCTTGTGTCCCAGGAACCTCTGCTATATTTGGCAGCTGTTCAACTATCAAAAATAGTTGATAGTCTGCTGCAGACTAGTAAACAAGTTATTAAACCTTCCTGTTCAGTTGCTCTTGGCAAGATAATTACGTTACGCCTGAATTAATAAAGCTGAAAGGGCTTTTTTTTTTGGCAGATGGGCCAATGCACAGATTCAGGTATTTTACCAGCCAGCTGACAGGAAAAAAAAAGCAAGCTGAGACCAAGAAAACGAAATACCTTTAAAGAATACTTTTATTCATTGATCTGTTTTTCTATTTTCCGTATAAGAACCTCTCTTATTGACAGTATTTTGCAAAGACTTCTGCACGCAATGAGAAATTGACTGCACTTTTCTCAGGACTTCCTTTTGAGGTAGCAATCATATTACTCAGTACCCATGCTGCTTTTATTTAGGCCCTAGAAAAATAATGGTTGTGTTTCATTCTTGACAGTTTTAAAGGTTAAATATTTGCAAGGTTGTGGCAAGGAGGGGAACATTTAGGTGAGCCCCATATTGTGCAGGCAGACTTCAAAGTTTCAAAGCAATTGGGGCCGACACCTCTTCAAGACACCATCAGCCAGAAAACCACTCTGGCCACAGTCCAGGCGGGACTTGGATGGCAACCCTCCCCAAAGGCAGAACCTGCTGCTTATCCTGAGCTGAGAGGCTTGACTCTGCAGTGCAGTAGAACATCACCCCATGGAGACACTGAGGCATTGTGCTACAGAAGCTAAAAAGATGTCCCCTTAATCACCTTCCTATTTCTCATGCCTATGCATTTCAGCACCTTACTTTCTTCATTCATAGGCTTCAGATCCTCAAAACTTGCTCCTTTAAGAGTTACCCCTGTTCAAAATAAATCTCTATCCAGAAGATGCACACACAAGCCTCATTTCTAATCTCTGATTGGAGTAGCAAAGATACTATTGCCTTCAGTTTATTTGGCTATCTGAATAGCTGGGGCAACTCCCAACCAAGTTCCAGGAGCTGGAGACAGGCATGTCCTGCCTCCAGGCAGGAGTCCTTTAGAGTCCTTACCATCACAGGTCCCGTCATCAGCAGAGAGCAGCCATGGCAGGATTCCCCAAACTTCCCCCAGTAGTCTTTGTGACAGTACAGCTTCCCATCTTTCTCATAGTACCAGTTAGTGAGGGGATCCTGACATTCAGAGCACCTTGAAGGAAAGAAAGGAACAAGGTTCCAATTGGCAACAAGTCACGAATCAGTGGAAAAGCTCCTCTCCGTCATGGGGAAAACAGACATTCAGCAGCAGGTCACCACCAGCTCTTCTACCTACAGACGTACTAAACCCCTCCATTTCCCAATGCTTTTTCAACTGAAAACTGGCACCAAACCCAAGGTTTGTAAGGAGAGGTGGTATCAACCAATTCAAAGGAAAAGACAAGCTTACAAAGTTTAAAACAAATCCCATCCATTTATTAAAACACATCAGTAGGTTTATAAATTCTGCCTTACAATTTTGCTCCTCTGCTTTCTCCCTCTTCCTGGATGCAAGCTTCCAGCTGCAGTTGCCCAGCACATGGATAGCTCTGCTACGTCTCTATAGCATCACACCATCTTGTGCCAGAGCACCGGTCTCCTCAGCCAGTTTAGGAAGGGGGACAGAGTGACAGGATCCACTTCCCTATGCAACACAAAGCCAGTTTTGCACCAAACTGTGTGGAAAGCCTTTCTACTCTTCTGTAAGCAGACCTCTCCCAAAAGGTCACCTGCAGCACTATCCATTTGAGGGAGAGTTTTCAAAGCACTTCATCCTTTGAGCGCCACATACTTACTGCATCCACTAATTAACTGTGATGAAAGTCCTCCACCTCTCCCCACCGATTGCTCTCCCTTTCCTTCTGCCTGCGACAGTGCATGAGAAAAAAAATACAACAAACAAAACTATTTCCCTAATTTCATGTAGGGTGTCTCAAAATCCTTCACATATCAGTCTCAGCTTCCATTTCAACAAGCAACTATTATCAATCCTCTGTCTACACTCCCCCTAAGAAACAACAAACAACTCCCCCCCCCCC